TTAGGGCTTCACATTCCCAACTGCTTAAACCCAGGTACAAAGGGAGGCTGAGTTTTCTGATTTTTGGAGGGATTTTTGTTTGTTTGTTGTTTGTTTAAGCAAGATGCTGTGTGATATTCAACACTGTTTCCAAACACTGCTAGATCCACGCACGAGCACAGACCTGTGTTTAATCTCCCAGGGAGCTTTTACAATCACTTTCATAACTGTCTCACTGTCGGGGTTTTGCTTTCCGATGCATCACCCCTTATCTCAGCCCAGCTGCAGGAGAGCGAATCTGGGGTGGGATGCAGAAATACGTTTGTTACTTTCTATGCCGAAATTGCAAACCACGAGGAAGAACATCCTTCCTCATTTCACAGCTAAAAAGCTACGAAACCACAACTGCCTTCCCAGAGGCGATAGCGGCCGGCCACGGAGAAGTGGGAGCAGGAGGATATCCCCTGTGCAGATGTTCACCCCTACCACCCATGCCGTGGTCTTGCAGAGAGAAGCTGGGGGACCTGATAAAGCATCTGGGTCGGAAGGATTTATGAGGCTCCTATTCCTAAACTGAGGGGAGGGGGGAGATTTAGGGGGTGCACGTCAAGCTAGGAAACAGCGTGGAAAATGCCAGCATGCCTGGCCAAGAGATTATCACTGGGGTTGGACCACGAGCTTTATATCATCCTGATATTTAGCCTTCACCTTACCACAAAGTTCACTTTGTAAACGATGAGCAAAATTCCCCATCTGTCTCCACAGCCAGGTGATTTTTGGCCACATGTGTACATATGATGCTCCGGGTGCTCCTATGTGGATTCGGGAAGGAGTGAGGGGAAAACCACTCGTAAAATGCCTCTTTTTATAGATACTTGCAGGACAATTACTGTGGCATGGATTGCTCTATCAGAAGAGGTTGGTTTGGTTAGTTTTTGTTTAATAGGTGTTTAATACTACATGCAACAAGCGATGAGCCCCCCTCGGTGCAGCCCCCCGCCAGGGATCAGCTGAGCGACAGCTCCATAAATACTTCCAGCCTAACTAACCTATGGCCCACACAGCTGCCTAGCCAGTCCACTAACCCTGTTACCTGCTAAATTTATGATTCCTAAACAAGATAAAAGAAGGATAGACTAGATTTATTTTCTTTTTTAAAACAAACCTCAAAGCAAGGAGTCTGTATTTCTAAGGGTTCAGCCAGCCCAGAGCCTGACAGCAGGCATTACCTACCACTATTTTATGGTCTTTGCTGGCTACGTGCATCCGTGCAGCTTTAAAAGGGAGCAATGTTCCTTGTAAACAGTGGTTTGAAAACAAATAAGTATTCAAATGCCCAAAAAGGGATGAAAAAGGAGGCAGTCTTGGGATGAGAAACAGGTCTTAATGAACGGCTCAGACCTGGTCAGAGCTCAGGCATTGGGGTCCAGCTGGACACCAGGGTTTTCCTCAACCCATCAATCCAGTCTTGGGAAATCTTATTCTGTGCCGCAAACTTCATGCGGAGGCTGTGATGTGGGAACAGAGCCTGACCCCAAAACTGAGCTATGGGACTGGCTCTGGAGCAGGCAGCCTCTGTCCTGTGCTGGTTTTCATCTCCGTAATTGGAGAGATGCTCTACAACTCTGCAAGATAAATAAAACCGTCTAATCCCTGGGTTTCAAATTAACATATTTACCTGGTCTCCCTATTTTTCTCAACCCCTGACCTCATGCATTATATAGGAAAGCTGTACAATGTCCAGCTGAAAAGCAAACTTTCAGGGTAGGGTTTTTGTTTTATTTTCTTGAAAAGACAGCTGCAGCCTCCCAATGGCTCCTGTAGGCAGGCGGCTTGAAACAGGCCTTTTGTCTTTAAGGATGTGAATTAGTGGTACTGCATTTTCTTTGCTTTCTCGAATAAGTCTTGACCTTTCAACTCTAAAGCTGGATGAAGAACAGACCAAACACTCGAGACTGTTTTATCCCCACTGTCCCCACTTCACGTGCCAAGTCCTCCTCCTGGCTCAAGGCTTCAAGTTCCAGCAGCTGACAAACAGTGAGGGTGAAGGTAAAAGTGGCAATTACACCATCTTCCAACTTTGGAGGGGCAGAGGGGAGGGAAATAATTTTCAAACACTCCAGGAAACAAGAAATGACCAAAAAACCCAACCTCGGGAGATACGGTGAAGCCTCAGCTTGCTCCTGGTGTGAATAAGTGTCTCAAACAAAGCAGCTGAAAGCCTGATGGTCCCTTCACCAAATTTTGTTTTCTGTAACCTGTAACCAGCAACTCTACTGGAGGCATCACAGCAGCCCAAGCACCCCAAAAGGAGATGCAACACCAAGGGCAGGGAGCAGGTTGCCCACAAAAATCCTTGCAACTCAGATGGGATCCCAACCAAACACTTCTTGACCTGCAGAGTGCCAGTGTCACTACCAAGCTGCCGGCCAGATGCACATGGGGACCCAACCAGCTGCCCCAGAGATTAAACCTTGAAATAAACCCCAGGGCAGGTTCAGACCCCGTTATACCCCCTTGGAAACCCACCACGATGCTGCTGGCTTTAGCCACTGTCTCCCCACACAAATCCAGTGTGAACACACAGTCTCCTGCCCACAACAAGCACCAGCCGCTTCTTCTGACACCCAAACCACCACCCACCACCATCAACTCTGCCTTCAGCAGCTTCTTCGTGGCCCAACTTACTTGCTGCCTTTTTGGTTTCTTTTAAGTACACAGCACAAAAAACCACACACAGGCCAACTTCAGAGATATTCCCACTAGAAAAATTAAATACTCATAATGCTTTTTTAAAGTGAATTGGGCCCCTTAATTTGCATCTTATAATAAGGATGTTATCGTACTGGTTTATGGCTCAGCTCTTTAGTTTCTGTCTCTCAGGGGCTAGATTTCCCCTCATGAGTTCAATAGATGTCTGTGAACTAATGTAATTTTTTAAAAGGCTTTTCTTCTGTATTAACATTACAACCTTTACGAGGTAAAGGTTTTACTTGCCGAAGTGCAGGGCATATTGGCATTTAAGAGCCAGGCACCACACTTGCCAGCAGGGCTGTGGAGGATGCTGCAACCTGGGGTTAATCCTGGGCAGCAGGCAGAAACCTTCCTCACCTCCTCACACCAAGCCGAGCTCTCCAGTGTGCTCCATCTCTTACATTTAGCTTAATTATAAAACATTGTCACTCGAATATTAAAATAATGTTTAATACACAGAAGGGAATACGCCAGTCCAGAAAAATGCATAATTTCCCTATGCTTACCCTGCTAGTCACATGCATTGAGCTCTTTCCCCCGCCTCTTTCTCCTGACTGCCTCTTACAGCGATGCTGGGAATGCCCTTCCAAAAGCCTTTAAAAAGCATTTAAAAGCCAAGGAGGCTTTCCCCATCTCCACACTTTCCAGGGATGCCCATCCTCTGACCCCCTCACCCTTGGGAAGCAGAGCAGGGCTGGGGTAGGATTTGTCCTCCCATCCCCTTCCAGCTCTGCATCTGACGGCAGCACCAGGGTCTCCGGGAGAGGAAAACAGCAACAACTTGACTAAATCCCAGAGGACGTTTTTAAACTTGCCTGAATTAGGGCCCAGGGGCAGATGCTTGGTGTTTCAAAACAGCCAGTCTCCGAGGTGCTCAAACACGCCGCAGGTAGGAGCGATGTCAAAAATGCCAGCCCCTGCTTTAATATACTCCGGGATCATTCATCACCTCCGCACCTTATTTTATATTGCTAGGTTCTACTTTAAATAAGCTCCTCCTCCCTCCCCCCCCTCCCCTTTTAATCACTACAGCTGCAGAAGTTGCTATCTTTTCAGCAGAGGAGGGGGGGAGAAAGAAAAACAGTTAAAAGGTTGACTTTAGGCAGCAAAAAGCCAACAGGAGCAGCCAGGTGCAAAGCAGCTCCCAAAGAGATGTTGCTCCCTGATGCATCCAAATGGAGGAGCTGAACCCCAGGGGAGCATGCAAGGGAGGTGGCAGGGAAAAGGTCTGTTGGGAGTAGAACAAAAAGCAATTAAGCTTTATCTACAGTGGAATTAGGGGTGCAGGGGTGTTTGGGGAGAGCAGGGCAGGCAAAGCTCACACTGCTCACCAACGGGGGCTTTTCTGGAGATGAGCTGTGGGATGAGGGCTGCCAGAGGACAACCTTGGCTTGTGAGGAAGGGGGACTGAAGTGTCACGGCCACCCGGATCTGCTCGCCGATGCAGTGCTGTAAGAGGAGGTCAGGGAAAGGACAGACACTCACATAAAGGGAAAAAAAAAAAAAAAAAAAAAAAAACACGTTTATTTAGGGCTCCATCCTCTACTCCCTCCCTGCCCAAAGTGTCCCAGGTTTGCAAGGGCACATCTACAGCTATTTAAAAAGTGATCTGGCACCCCCATAGGCACTAGGAATTCTGCTACAGATGCTCAAGAAGCAAGTCAACAGCCCCATTTTCTGCTGCCTGCAGGCATGCTTCACAGGAGGCCCTTAGCCACCAACACCTTCACCCAACCTCTTGCTTGGACAGGATGCAGACCCTGAGAAACCTGGCTGAAAGGGTTAAGCGGCCTGTGGATGGTCTGCCTGTGCACTTACCACCTGGAGCAGCTTTGCTCACAACTGGGAAGCATTAAAGGTTTAGCATGAGCTGGTGCAGGTGGTACAGCTTTGGGCTGCAGTCTCTTTGATGGATTGGTCTGGACAAGCTCTGGAGATCTTCTGCCAGCCCACAGGGATGACCCAGCAAGAGGCCACCTCTTGCTAAGGGGACCTCATCACCAGGGCCAGCCCCTCATCAGCTCCCTGGGGTGGGGCAGGGGTCTTATTGCTCCATCTAGACCTCATTGAGGAAAATCTCATCATGCCTGGGCATTTGAGGAGGTTTAAGCTTAGCAACAACCATACTGGGTGAGGAAGGAAGGTCCAAACGTATGGCCTTCTTCATGCCATTTCAATTAAAATGCTGTAAAAAGTGAAAATAACTGGAAAGGCAGTAGCCCTGTTTTATTAATAGCAAGTATTTATTAGCCTCCTTGATTTACAGTATGTTTCTGAAAGTCATCAGTCCATCACATTCTTCAGCACGGGGGCTGAGTTGTTTTTCTTGGTCAACACAATATGGAATATAGATCTGAATATGAGAAGCCAAATACAACCTTCATTTTGCATGCACATATCCCACCAACGGGAGGCCCGTAAATGAATCCTGTATAGCCCTTAGACACATGCATTTGCAGACACTGGGGGAGAGGTGGGAGCTTCTATACATTGCCACTGGAAACCCAAAGGGGTCACAGAAGTCATCAGGGGAAGAGCCATCAAGGGCTAGAGCAACCTCGGGAAAGCATAAAAAAAAAAAAAAAAAAAAAAAAAAAAGGTGAAAAATCCACCTCGTGTGATCGTGCTTCTGGGTTTTGACATCAACAGCTCTGTCCATCCATCCAGCTCCCTGCAGTATATGACTCTCATGCAGTACAGACACCTCCACCCACCCGTTATCATCCCTCTTGCCAGATTCTTCCTTCCCCCCACCCCAAGCCTCACCCTGGGGTTGTGCCTGTCCAGCTGTCTGTCCATCACCACAGCAAGCCAGCACTTGCCCGCTGGAACCGTGGCCGAGCCAGCACTTCCCAGGAATCACATCATGCTCATTACAGGAGGCCAGACGAAATTAAATTGGGGCCCACTGGTTCTGCCATCTGAACTTCATCACTGCTAAAGATGCAATAAAAGTAATAGCAACATTGAACAAGCCCCTACCAGATGTGTAACTCTATCCAGTGAGATTAAGGAATAATGGCCATATTTGGGGTTTGGTTTTTTTTGTCGTGTTCCCTCCCGATCTATCTTTCCTTGGGAAGAAGTAGTGATTATTCGGACCCCTGTAGAAGATGAATGTTTAGAGTGTGATTTCTGCAGGGGGAGGAGGTTCAGGGGGTGGAGGTTCAGGGGGTGTCAGGATGGAGGAGCAACAAGGTTTTATCAACTCGAAGCAGATACGACATAGAACTGGATGATGATGCCTAGTCATGCCTGAAATGGGCAAACTGGGTGGGGGAAGCAGAGAAAAAAAAAAAAGCAGCAAGTGAGGCACCACTGTCATTCAAGGCAGGGGGCTTCAGCTCACTCCTCAATAATAATTTAGTGGGATTACATGAAATATCCCACCAGAGCAGGGAGCCCTACAAAGGCAGCTGTGTTTAGCAGGTCCTCCACCTCACCACCAAAAATCTGCAGATAAAGGCTCACCCCTGGGTTGCACCAGCATCCAGACAACACACAGCAATGGAAGAAGCGAGATGCAAAAGTACAAGGTCAACCTCATAGATAGTAAAATAACCTCCAGCAGCCCAAGAAGGATGGTACTTGCCCAGAATTCAGAGTCACTTTGCCACTCGCCACCACCATGATGCTCCTGAAACTGCTGCTGGTCCCAGAGGTAAGACCCGACATGAAGCTCGGGTTGATATGAAACATGGTGAGGAGGGGTGGGAGTATTGCTTGAAATCTCATCCACCCTTTTTTAGATCTGTTTTCAGATCACTTCTGGAGCAAGCTTTGTCATCTTGTAAAGGCCCACAGCCCAAAAGCAACAGAAATCAAAATATATATTATTTTAAAAGCAAAATTTAAGTTATTCACAGAAGACTTGACCTTTGCTGCATTTTAGTGTCATGAAAGTGTGCTTAGAAATAAAATACAGCACAGTCAAATTGCCTTCGAGTTTGAAAGCAGCTTTTTAAATCCCAGAAGAAAAAAATCAAAGCTAAGCTAGCTAATTCCCAGGTATCTTGTTCATCTCAGCACTGCGGACCAAGAGAGTTTTTCTTTTGTTTATTTCAAACTCCAAAACATTAGGACCTTTGTTTCTTTATAAAGACCAAGTGTACTTTATTTTTTAACTCTGATTTGCAGACTGACACATTGGGAATATGCTAAAACACAAAATCCCTAGGAATATTGCCCCTCTTGCACAGAAAACAGAGCAAGGTCTAGCTTTGAGATTTCCAGCTCTCCCCTCACAGGAAACCCTTGACTCCTGTTAATTGGCAGAAACTCATTAAGCCACTGTAACGTGATGACTGGCGATCCTCCACACACCCAGATACAGCAAAGGGCTTTGCAGCAGCCAAGTCCTGGCCAGACAAAAAAGGATTGGAACAATACCCCTAATTAAAGCACACAGCAGCCCAGGTCACACAAGGTGCTGGAAACCCTTGTAGCTCCACCAAAACCTCACACTGGGGCTGCCCTGACACTTTGCAAGAGCCACAGCAGAGCCTGTGAGCAGGATCAGGCCCTGCAGCAGGGGAGAGGAGCCCCCAAGCACACCCATGACATGTATTTGTAACTTTAAGGCAACACAAATTCTGCAGATGCTTTTAAGTCTTGAGTTGGGGGGTGGGGTGTGTATTAACACCTGTATTTAAAAAATATACATTTAAACGACTATTTCACTTTACCTTCATGACTTCAGGGAACAACAGGTATAACTTTTCCTCTCTGTGCTTGGCAGAACGCATTTAGCTGTCACAGTTCTGTTTTCTGCTTTCCCTGGGAAAAACACCTGCCTTGCACTGGCTGCTGGAGAAGAGATGGGCCACAGCTGGAGAAAGCAGAACACGTTGCACTTCTTCCACCAAGCAGAGCATCAAAAGTACAAGGAGCTGCCTTAAAAGCCATCTATGCACTAAGCTTTGCCTGCACTCAGACAAAGTAAGGATAAAGACACCCTCGAGAGTGGCCAGCACCCAGAAAAACTCTTAAAAAGCAGCTTCTCAGTTGCCCTGTATTATAAGCTAGGCCTGCTGTAGATATGTACCAGGTGATTCCTGGTTTGCAATTTGGAGGAGAGAGCAGAGCAACACCCTCTGCAATGAACAATTCCATCAGCCCTCATCTGCTGCAGCTGCCTGGTGCAGAGATACCCCAGGGCAGGAGCTGGGGGTGCCTGCAGCTAATGGGATCTGAGAACTCCTTAGTGATGGGGGGTTTGCACCCAACAGGATGCTCAATGCAACAGGATTCACCCTTCCAAGGCTCAAAAAACCCTTATAAGCAGACACAGAGGTGTTAGCACTGGCTGAGAGAGGAAGAACTTTTAAAAATGTCTCCTCGTCATAAAAAAAAATAAAAAATAAAAAAAATTAGGGTGTGTGCAGACTTCTGGGTAATTGGAACTCAAAAGACCAAATTACCTGAAAAGAAGCAGCAGTAGCTCCCTTTGGGTCAACCCATGCTTATAGAGTGAGTGCCCCTGGGCTCCCGACTTGACCCTACAGCTGTATGCAGAGGTGCTTCTGCCCTCCCCCCCCCTCTCCCACCCCCGGCCTCTCGCTGAGCTTTAAGGTACAAAAGTGTCTGTGCTTATGCTACGCCCTGGCCCCCATGAGAACTACAGCCTGGGTTTGTCAAATACAAAAGAGCAACTACCACCCACCAAAAAGGCAACATGATCCTCCTCTGTGGCTGTTTTGCTGGGGGAGAGTCACCCCAGCCAGGTGTCTCACTCAGGTTTTAAGAAAAGAGATGAATAAACCCAGAAGTGAGATTGAAACTAATGCATGAAGCAAGGAAACGAGCTGGCCCCTGCCCACAGCTCAACTCCATCCCACTGTGCTCAGCAGCGGGTGTCCTGGCAGCCTGACACGGCCGGCCAGCAACTCCACTCGCTACCCAGCTGGTTTCTTTCACCAAATAAGGTCCATTCCCGCTTGCCGGCACAGGCATGAGTAGCTACAGCCTATAAATCCCATCGGAGACAGCACACAAGCACGCACTTAACCCATCTTCTCTTCAGCAAAGCGCTTGCGCCCCAAACCAGCAAACTCTTGGGGTGGGTGCGCAGCTCTGAGCAAGGGACAAGTGTCACCAGCAAGGGGAAAAGCTGCGCAAGAGCTGGAGCGCTCGGTGGGACACACCGGGATGCCAACCTGATCGCCAGTCCCCCTGTACCCCGGCTCAGGGCAGGGCTCTGCATGCCCTGGTACTGACAGTACCTCCATAGCAAGACCCCCACTCCTCCTGAAACCGGCCGGCTGGCCTCGCTTCTCCTTGCGTGGACACGAAGGGACATTACGGATCCTACCAGCCCCAAAAGTCCATAGTTTAACAGCAGAATTGTAATACAACAGCTGGCGTTCCTCAAGAGGAGGTGGGTGACGGAGGAGAGCTGGGAGACCCTCCCCACTTTGGCATCACTGAACACCAGCGGGGGTTCGCCATGACTGGGGGTGCCGCGGTCGTAAGCCCAACGTAAGCCTGGTCTAACTCTGCAGGACACATTGCCCAGTGTGGCCCTGCAGCCCCTCGCACAGACACCAGCCCCGGCTTTCTCTTTGTAAACTCAGCACTTGGTTTTCTGCAGCCAATATGGTAACACAAAGTCATACCAGCCGCCTGGCCCTTGTTAGCATTAAAAATTAAAGACAGAGCAAACAAAACCTAAAGCTCCAACATTTATTATGGCAATTTCCCACCCACCCACAGACCTACACTGTGTTTTGTTTTATTTTTAATTCATCACATCAGATGCGCCTTCCAAGAAATGGCACGTCCTGGAGATAACCAACAGGCCAGGTTGTCCACGAGAGCAAGAGAGTCTTTTTTTTCATGGGGAAAGGAGCCAGTCGAAGCCATCGATAAGCCCCTGACCTTAGTGGGTGGGTTTGCTTTTTCTGTTGTTGGTTTTTTTTTGTTTTTAGAAAATAAAAAAAGAAACGATCAAACAAACAAACCAAAAAAAACCCCAACCCCAAAGAAGTGTTGTACTCTATTACAAAATATAAATACGATAGTCTTGCAGGCAGGAGGAGCCCGGGGAGCGCTGCCTTCGGCGGGTGACTTCTCAGGCTCTCCCAGGGATGCGGTGAGCCAGCAGGACAGAGGCCACCTCCGGACGCCGAGACGCCGCCAGCCGCTCACCCCAGTTTCACCTCCTTTCAGAATTTAAGTGCTCTTGAACTTCCATCCGAAAACTGCCAGACGTCCGGGGCTCCCTGGGCACTGCGCCAGCTGGGGGGGTACGCCGAACCTACAGAGAGCATGGGGACAGAGGAGAGAACAGGTGTGACATGGCCCACGATGCGACTTATTCTCTTATTTTACTTTTTTTTTTGTCTCGATTTTTGCTTTAACAACTAGGACACCCAACTGTCGCAAAGGAATATGGCAGGACGGAGCCCTTCCTCCTCTCAGGCCACACTCTCGCATCCGGCATCCCTTGGCACCATGCAGGAACCACAGGGATCATTTAGGATTAAATACCTCTGGACTCTACTGAGAAACCCGGGCTGTGCCAGGAGCTCTGTTTGGGCAAGGACTGAGCCAGCCTGTCTGAACATTCCCTCCTATTCTTTCCCAAAAACTCGCCTGCAGTGCAGCCGGATGATGAAGACCCTCTTAAAGCCATCAGTACTGTTAACGTGCCACAGGGCGGGTGGTTCATGGAGGACTTCCCCCAAGCCAGCACACATTGGGTATTGCACAACATGCAAGTGCACACCGCCATGGCAAAACTCAAGTTGCAAAGCCCCAGCCTGTGCCCAGCAAAGTCTGCGGGTGACTCGCCAGACTCTAGCAGCGTGGGATGGGGCAGCGGGACAGCAAACGGCCCTGGCTCCACTCACACAGAGAACAGGAACAGCTTGGGGCCCATCACCAAGCACCACGCTACCCCAAACAGCGGGCTAAGGGGCTGCACCGCCAGCAGTGGGTGGTAGCAAGGGCAGCGCATCATCAGCGCGCCCCTCAAAATCCACCTCCGCATCCCGACCAGGGAGCCAATTTCTATGGAAATTCCTTCATTAATACTTAAGAGAGCGGTTGAAGGGCTATGCGCGAGCTGCCAGCAAAACTAAATAAGCAGTTCCTAGGCCAGATCTTCACCGGGTGCAAACTGGTGTGGCTCCTCCGAAGTCAAGAGCACGTGCCCAGTGTCTCTCCACCCCGGGGAGGGCTTGTTGCTGCTGCTGTGGGACCTTGACACGTTTCAGGCTGACGTTAAAGCTGGCTGAGACTTACAAGGGAGCCAAGAGCGCTGCAGCCATCCCGGCCACAAGCTGTACCAGCACAACACTGCTGCAAACTGTACAGCCTGCCAAGGGGCACGAAACCTGGGGTTCCCTTGCGCCTCCTGCCCCACAGCGGGGAGGGGACTCCACGCCTGGATCCCTGCAGCTAGTCTGAAACTGGCAGCCGAGCATCTGGGCTCGAGGAGCATCGTCTCTCCAGCCAGTCCAGCAAAGAGCCCCCGGGCAGCATCACTCTCCTAGTCAATACTACGATTTGCCCATGCATCCGCCAGAAATGGTTTTCAACCTTTACAGGAGGAAAAAAAAAGAGGGGGAGGAATCTAAAAGAGCAGCTGGTATCTCTTTTCTTTTTCGTACAAACTCTGCACTCAGATAAACCCCGAAACTGTATCTCATCAGATACGCCAAAGCCTCCTGAATGTCAAGCAAAGACATGGTATCACTTATTCCTGTATTTATCTCAGCCCTTGGAAACATAATAAATATGAAACATCTGTAGTCTAAATTCTGGAAACAGTTTCAGTGCCTTCATTACATTAATCATTCAATTTGGAGGAGATTAAATACTAACGGCAAAGGGGTCTGTGCCATAAAACCGTGTTTCTCCTTGAAAGTTGATGGGGTTTGAGATTTTAACAAGAGAGACACTGTTACTCAGATATCACCCTTATTTACTGAGATATCTTTTTGCACAGAGAAACAGGGAAGTTTCTACAGACCATGGGTCACACATAAGCAGGGTGCCAACGCGGCTCAAGAGCACACGATGGGGCTTTCGACATCTATGCCCCAACCCAACCAACTTCCATGGGTTTTATTGCACCATTAACTCACTGCCACTGGCAGAAAAAAACATCACATTAGCAAATTCTGCTTTGGCGTTGAGGTGACAGCACGTTGCCATTTGCAAGCTATGCTCTTGCTGGCCAGCTGGTGCTCAGACAACTTCTCCTACAGCAGGAGCTGCTTCTCCTGAAGCTCCTCCAAACCGCCTCAGCCCCGTGTGCATGGTTGCAAGGCAACACCATGCCCAGAGGGCTCATTTAGCTCTCTGAAACCTGTAAAATTTAGCTTTCTGAAACCTGTAAATCAAATGCATCACTGCATAATTAAAAAAAAAAAAACATTAAAAAATAATTGTTACATGCTTTCCACCTGTTAATCTTGTGGCAGCACATGGAGCCCAGCTCTGCCTAGAGATGCCTGTATATATGATTATTTCATATGTAAAACACATTATAGAGAAAGGAAGTGGAACGACGACCGCCACAGGATAGACACGGGGTACAGTGCCCGCTCCGAAAGACAGACAGGCTATGCTCGACCCCGGGCAGACCAGCCAACATGAGTCCTCTAGACAACGTCTCAACCGTGTTGCAAACAGCCATAAAAATAGCAAGAGGGAGGAAGGGACTGGACTCCGTGCAGACATTTCATGGCACGGGATCAAAAGTTGTGTCGTCAAGGCAGCTGCAAAGCGCTCTGCATACACCGGCACTCCCGGGGACAGTC